CAGTAATGCCCAGAGTTTTTGGGGCTATTTTGCCCGAAATCATGGCAAACAAGTTCATGTCTGTCGGTTTAATACCATGTTTATAATTATAGCGATTTAGTATTAAACACGCTAAACATGTTACCGATACGCTAGTGTATAATATTGTGGCCGTATTCCCGGTGCCCAACATATTAAAGCGTAACAGCATTCCTCCCATTGACCCATTGAACCCATACTACCATAGAATCCCATGTTATAGACGTCTAATGCTTTCCCCTCTCAAGATTTTACTCTCCCCTCTAGAAACAGACCCCAAACTTTTGTGACATTCCTGAGCGAGAGGGCCGGGTATATAACGAGTGCCCAGCCCTCCAGCACAGAGAGAACTACTTTAGCTCTACCATCGAGTAGTTGTGTGTCTCTCCTAAAGAGACCCACTTTTTATACTTTTATTTTGTATTTCTTTTTATATGTGTTAATCAATAAATACTTTAATACTAATTGTGTGACAACTATATCGCAAGCGGTGTGCGCGCTGGCGGGCGGACGGGTTAGCGCTGCGGGCCGGCTCCGGTAGACGCCTCCGGGAGGCGTCTCAGGTAAGTATATATCTTTTGTACCCCCTATTAGTAGTTATAGTGTAATTAACCCCCATTACGCTTTAATATAATCAATGTCTGTTAGATAGACGTGTAATTCGCGAGAATATTGACCATCATTTGTGTGAATATAACATAGAAATAAATATTTTATAAGATTTTGCAATAAATTTATAAATACAATGAAGGGATGGTTAAACCATTTCCTGTGTATTGTATTGTTCAGGGGTTTAAATAGTGATAATCCGATCGCATATAAAGTACAATCAGCTCTTGATATACGCATATTCGGTGGTATTTGTTGTGATAAGTCCAAGATGTTTAACATGGTTTATGTTAAGTTAAACTTTAATTAAGCTTGCATTAACAAAAATGCTATATTTTAAATATGAAATATACTATATTTATTAAACTTTGTCAATTTCTGAAAACTAATTTCTAAATATATTTTAAATTTTAACAATTATTTCTACATGTTCAAATACAACTATGCCTTGTACAGTTATTAACACAATTAATGTTAGCTTTATTTTATTTTTGATTTTATAACATATGCAACTATGTAAATATTAAATAATAAGAAACATTATTTTCATATTAATATATGTATACCTACGGTATATAAATCAATATTACCATTATAATCTTAATTAAATTCAAAAACAATTTTTAATCAAAAACAATGTCATTAATTTAATGCAATATATAAATAACTTATTTTTACTAGATAATTATTCTATCAATGTACAATATACACTATTCACTTGGAAAACTAATTAATTTTTATACCAGAATCTTCAGTTAATATTAAATTAATTACTATTCAACTTTATTGCAAATAGTAATAAAAAATTTTGACTCAAAATGAAATTGTGTGAATGGAATTTCCCGATCATGTTCGGATTGGTTGAGATGTGTAAAATATTATTGAAAAATTTGTGCATTTTCAATCAATTTTATATAAAATGATAAAAACAACTTTTTAATAATTTTTATCACCTTTTTAGCAACTATTATTTTTGTTAGTAAATTTAAGAGGGTGTTATTTCACATGTATTTGCATAGATTGTAGATAACTCATAATTTAATAATTATTTTATATTAATAAAATTTTTGATTTTTGTTATATAATGTCCTAAAGACGTTTTAACTGTCCTTAATATTCCTGATTACATAATGAAATTATCGCTGTATTAAAGGTTAAACTTTTCAAGTACCATGATAAGTTTAATGGGATATTAAAATCACTACAAATTAAATCAAAAATCTGATAAAATTCAAGACAGGTATATAAAGTAAGAAATAATTTCAAGTTAATTAATTAACAAAATTATTACCATAATTAAATAAACCAAACAACAAATAATAATGTATTTCTCGGCACTCATTGTATTGCTAACAATACAGACAGCGTTCAGCGCTAAAGACAATGTGAAAGTGATTGACAGTCATATTGACGCCAAACAGGAGATGTATGTCATCTCACGAGTGATGGATCTGTTGGTGAAAGACGTGAAACCGCACCAAATGGTCAAGTCTTTGGTCGACGACATGAACGTCAAGTATGGCCCGGGATTTGTCGGTCAAATCACTATTAATAACCACAATATTAATAATACTGAGCTGTACTTCGGGTCTAAATTGGACTCATATATTACTGTACAGTATAGACAGACACTGATATCACTGTACAAGCCGTTGACTATGGTCGATTTTGTCACCAAACAGGTAAATTATTTTAAACCATTACTAACTTATATATAAATATATTAATGTAAAAAATCAAACAATTTAAACAACAAGAACTTTACATCACGTAAATACAGTGTAATCAGAGATAGAATTATATCAAAAATTTGTATATTTAATCTAGTTTTATAGAATCTAAACTACATTATCAATTTTTACACATTTCTACCTAGATAATATAATCTAGCTGCACATAATTAAAAACACAAAATCATTAAGTTCTCTAACACACAAACTAACCAATTGATCATAAATAAAAACAGCACATTGTTGGCCAAGTTGAGGCCGCTCGCAAATCCAAGGTACAATTCATCTCCAGCTACAATCTAACGGAGCCAATGACCACAACATACATGAACAAACTGCACGACACGTTCATGAAGGTGACCGAAAATTTTACCATGAACAGTTGCTTCAACGAACGACCTTATTATCAGAACTCGTGCTATAAGGAGATCAGTCGCCGTATATTTATTGATACGTACGGAACCGATGGTAACCTTATTATTGTGACCGAGAGTAAGTATATGGGCAGCAATGGTGTGCGACGTAATGAGTATATGCTCGAGGTGCAACTTGGTCCCTTGTTAATTTTTATAGCATAAACTTGTTTAACTCAAATATTATCTGATACTCCTATACTATCTGTTTATTGTAATTATTGTAAGTTATACTGTATAACTTTGTGCTGCATGTTATAACCATCATCAATTGTAATATTTTAAATTTATCAAATAAATTAATTAATAGTACTGTATTATCAATAATTTGCATTATTTCTTCAACATTAGTTGTTACTTGTCTATTTAATTTTATTATGAAATGTAACCAGAACGATGACTAGTTATTTAATTTAAGGCAACATATACTTACATGCTAAATAAGATAACCAGAATCAAATACATCAACATTGAATTTAATTAAAATAACCATCAAAAATAAAATAATAAATCACAATTTACAAAATAAGTAATCATAAAAAATATAGCCTATGTAAAGTTACACAGAGGGAACATAAAAACTGTGTTAACCTCGACGTTATTACTGACGTTATTGATGTATCCAATAGTTCACAGCATTTAAGTCATTGACAGCTATTTGTTTGTAAACAGAGTTTTCTCTCACTCTTTGTGTTTGACTTTTCAAACACTTAATCATTAATTGAGTCAATCGTTTGAATCATTGAATCGCGTCATCCGATTGGTCGACGACCCGTACCCTCACACGTGATAAACACGTGTTTATTCGCAATGAGTGCCACGGATTAAACTGTGGCCACAAATACGCGTCCAGTGTTTGTCATTGTCTTGTGAGGGACCAAATGTGGTGATACTCGTGAGTATACTGTATAATTGGATCATGTGTTAGACAGTGAGCTGATCCAGAGGTGAGTTATACCATATCATAGCCATTGATACTCGACTATCACTTATTACTTCACCCAATGCTTTAGATGGCGATGAATATGACCACAAAGACTACGACCATCACTACCACATCCATCGCCGGCTCCGCCACTACTGACAGCGAACCACCGCTGAGATCGTCGTTCAGCCGCTTCGACGACCAGCTCTGCGAAGAGATCGTAAGCCATCTGTCGCTCGAAGACCAGACCCGATGCGAGTGTGTCTGCAAACGGTTCCGGCGGAGCGTTTACCGGCGCGTCTACAGCATAGACTTCCGGTGCAATCCACTGCTCCATCAGCGGATCAAATACCGGCCACCCATCGCACCCATCATCACCACCAGCACCGCTGTTACCACAGTTGACGGCCAACAGCCGCAGTCGCAGACAGTCGACGGACAATCATCACAACAGCAGCGGCCACAGCAATCGCGGACAGCGGTCACCGCCAGCGGTTCCGGCAGTGGTGGTGGTGGCGGTCGGCAGACATACCACACGCCGCGCCTCTTCATGAACATTACGCTATACGAGCGACTGCTCCGCAAGTGTCCGCACATACGCGAAGTGGACTTCAATTATCTCATCGACTTTGACAACTACGGAGCCATCGTCGACACCATCACCCGAACGATTCCCAGTCTCGAGTCGGTGCACGCCGTGTTCACCGACAGGCCCTGTCATCAGACACCGCCCGCCGCAGCTGTTATGGAGACGTTTTACGCCAAATTCGCGGCCGGTTTGCAGCGGATTCGGGCCCATCATAGGGGACGAGTGCGCGCCGGTGTGGCCGCCGGCGCCGTCTGTGGCAGCGGTGTTGGTATTGGCGGCGACAACGGGTTGATGGCCGGCATCGGCGGTCTGCACGACAACGGCATCCAGTGTCTGAAGTGGTGCACGAATGTCACCCATTTGAACGTGATATACAACATACGATTGGCGCGACTGTTCGCCACGGAGACCGAGTGTCACTTCCGACGCCTCCAGTGTCTGGAGTTTTCGTTCAAAACCAAAGACAAGAAACGCTTGGAAGCGCTGATTGACGGCAACCATCAAACCCTACGCTCGGTGTTCGTGACCAACTCGGGCTCACTCACGCCGACAGCCGTATACACGCTGTTTACTCAGTTGGCCAGATGTCGGTCCGTACGGCGGCTGGAGATCAGCATCGGCTACGAACAGCGCTTCGACTATAATCTCGGTCATCTACTTCAGCAGATCGCCGCCCAGTGCCCACTGTTGGACAAACTGACCATATCGTTGCACTTCCGCCACCAGGCGCTCGCCCGACAGACCTTTGAGTCGTTGCGCCACTTCCGCGGTGTGCGACAACTCTTCGTGAGCCTGCGCTGCGAACCGGACCACACGTCGATCACCGGCGGCACCACCGGCTTCAGCAACACGTTCTTCAAGTGCAAACCACTCAACTCGTGCCACCGGTTGACGCATCTGACACTCGCCGACATACTTATCAACGATATATTCTTCTACAACGCCGACAAACATCTGCCCCGACTTCGCTATCTCTACCTCTTCTCGTGTCGTAATTACTACGAGAAACTCTCGCTGACAGACATCTCGATCAAGATGTTGTCCCGTTTGGAACGGCTCGAGACCGTGATGTTCAGCGAGAGGCAGCCCAAGATCACCGACCAGTGTGTTCACGATCTCATCGATCGGTGTCCGCGTATACGCCGCGTGTCGTTCGGCAATCACTCGTACGGCGACCGCATTGAGAGTGTCCGCCGCGCCCGACAACTGGCCAACGGTTGCGCCCACTGTCCGCCGCCACCGCCTCCTCCACTCCCGCCACCACTGCCGCCGCCATCGTTGCCATACTATAGTCAACCTCAGGCACCGCCGCCGCTGCCAACCCCGCCGTCCACTACCTCTAGATCTTAATTAATGTGTGAATTGTTTTTTGCAATTGATTTGTTTTTTTAGTTAATTTTTTACTTATTATGTAATCAATTGCCAAATGATTTGTATTATTTTTTTAGTTAATTATTTAATTATTATTTTAGTTAATTATTTTTTTTTGTAATTTAATTATCGGTCCAAACGGTATGAATATATGAATCGCACTAATACTATGATAAGTGTTATGTACCGTATATTCACGCCCGTAAACCCTGTATACCTGAACTCTTTACCTAGTATTACATGTATCTCAATATTGATATCTACTTAATTGTACGCCTAATTACTATAATAAATAATAAACAATGTCAATTTTACTTACTATAGTTATAATTGTGCTAAAATTGTAGCATGGTTATTGACTCAATAATATTGAGCATTGAAGCTATAATACGAGCTATGATAGGGAGCTAAATATTTTGAGTTACTCATGAACGTAATTGCTATGGACCACGCAGACTCAATAAAGTTTTTGCCATATGGTAAACAATGAAATGTTTAAATTAAATGTTACAACTTTCACAGTAAGAGTTCAATTTGAATATAAACACCGTAAAGGTCAATTTAGCTATTTTTGTTAGTTTCCAATGAACATGGTAAACACCATCGTGTCACTAATATGACTCGTGTGAGTCAGCGAATACAATCTGTGTGCCAAAAAACCACCTGTGTACAAAAATATGTACAATAGGCTTTGTCACGTCCAAATGCAAAACACTGTTTTGTAAAGTTTAAAATAATTATCATATTACATTTATTTATTAACGTAATAATAACGTTAAAAGTATGTATAAATAACTATCACTTAATTAAACAATTATAACAACACTTTATTTAATACGCACAGCATATAAGCCACACATCATTAGACACACCTCCGCCCCAAGTGTTGCATCAAATGACCTAACCTTTAGTGTCCACCATATCTACCGCTACCTCATTATCGCCACCAATGACTGTCATCACCGGTACGTATATATGCGGGCATTTAGGGTCACATACAGTGTATGTCATACACGCCATGTGTGTCCCCACACCCCCTCCCCCTCTGCGGCCGACACACGTGTTGTTAACACAACTCTTTGTTTGTGTCACACACTCTAACAGATCCCGCGGCCTCGATGTCCACCGACACCAACAACCAGACAACACCACCGCTAGCGGCGCCGTCGGCAGCGACGAGACAATCGTTCAGCCGTTTCAACGACCGCCTCTGCGAAGAGGTGTTGAGCCGTCTGTCGCTCGAAGACCAGACCCGATGCGAGTGCGTCTCCAAACAGTTCCGGCGGTGCGCTTATCGCCGGGTTTACCGCATAGACCTGACGGCCGGCGACCACTCTATACTCGTCAAGCGTCTGAAACGGCCGCCACAACCACAGCCGCCCGACTCCAGCCGTCACCACAGCTCCGGGAACTGATGATAAAAGCCCTAACGATAGTAGCGGTACGAGTGATGGCAATGGCGTCAAAACTGCAGCCCAAGAACCAGCGCAACCCGCGCTACCGGCGGTCACTCTAAGCCTCGAACAGTACCGGCGATCGTTGCCGGCCATGGATCTGACACTTTACGGCCAACTGTTGCGCAAATGTCCGCACATACGAGTGATCGACTTCGCCGACCTGATCCAGTTCACCAATATTGACGCCATTGTGGACACACTGTGCGCGTACGGGCATCGGGTGACCGACGCGACGATTGGCAACAACTACATAATGGCCATCAGTCCGGACTGTGTGGAGCGGTTCCTGCGCCGCTTCGGGCCCCAACTCAAGCGCCTGTGTCTGGCCATTGAGCGCACGTTTCTGCTCGCGGCGGGCGGTCTGAGCGCTGCGTTCAGCCCCGACTGGCGACCGGTGCCCGGCATCGAGTACTGTCGGCGCGTCAAACACGTCCGCTCGCTGTACTACTTGCCGTTCGGCCAGTGGTTTCCCACCGCCGACACCGTCGTCGACAGAGACGAGTGTTTGATGAAGAAGTTGTTGACATTCCGGTGCTATTTGGGCCCCAAAGACATGCAACGGTTCAAGTCGTTTGTGGGCCACAACGCGGACACATTGCGCCGCCTGTCGGTCACGACACACAACTCGACGGCCGCCAAAGGGTCGGTCATAAATCGGGCCGAATTTCACGCACTCATCGGTCAAATCGGGCGCTGCCGTCGACTGCGGCGCCTGGAAGTGATTGCCGGCTATACCCAACAGTTCGACTACGACTTTAGCCGTCCGGTACGCTCACAATTGGCCGACAAGTGCCCTGAGCTCCGCGAACTGTCCATCGGGTTTCGCTTCGTGTCCCGACAGCTGGCGTATCAGCTCTACGAGACGTTACGCCACTTCTCGTGCCTTAAACGGCTGACGATTGATCTCCAGTGGCCTGTTGTCGGCGATGTGCGGCCGCAGTCCATCCGTAACGCACCGCTGAGGCCAGTGCTGACCGATGAACACGACTATCACTTTTTATGCAAATCGTTGGCCGCGTGTCGACGCCTGGAACAGTTGACAATGCAATCGATGGTCATAAACGACGTGTTTTTCTACAACATCGACAAACACCTGCCGGCGCTCAAGCGGTTGACAATTATGGCCAGCTATCGGGACCCGATGTCGCTCACAGAGACCACTGTCAAAGTGTTGGCCCGACTCTCGCTTCTGGAGTCGGTGTACTTCAGCGGCGATCAGCCGTTGATTAGCGACCAATGCGTTCACGATTGGATCGGGAAGTGTCCGGCGGTCGAGAGTATTACGTTCGGGAGGCGGAGGTTTGCCACACATATCGAGGCTATTCGGGCGGGACTACCAGTTCCCGAGACGTCGTTCCCACCGACACCTGTAGTGCCATTTTCTGTAGCGCTACCAACACGTGAACCCTCGCCCACACCGACAGCCGTACCGCCAGTTCTCGAGTCGTCGGCCATATCTACAGACGGACTACCAGTTCCCGAGCAGTCGGTGTCGACAGCTGGACCACCGGCTTATGAACCGTCGCCCAAACCGATAGCCGGACCACCAGTTTATGAACTGTTGGCCACACCGACA